TCTGAGGGCTCTGAGGGCTCTGAAAGCTCTGAGGGCTCTGAGGGTTCTGAGGGCTCTGAGGGCGCCGCGGCCCCGCCCTGTCCGCGTTCCCGACCGTTGCGTCACCGCGCCGCGTGCGGCCCGGGCGGCGTCCTGCGTCACGGCCTCTCGACCAATCAGCGGCCGCGGCCCGGCCGCGTTCCACCAATGGGCGCGGGGCGGATGCGGGCAGGGGAAGGAGAAGGAGCGCGGAGCCAGCGAGGCGGCGGCGGCACAAAATGGCGGCGGCGGCGGGAGGYGGCGGCCCCGTAGGCCCTCAGGCGGCCAGCGCGGTCCCCGCTCCGGTCCCGGGCCCCGGCGCGGTGCTGATCGGCGACCGGCTCTACTCGGGCGTGCTGATCACGCTGGAAAACTGCCTKCTCCCCGAGCACACGCTGCGCTTCACGCCGTCCATGAGCAGCGGCCTCGACCCGGACACCGAGACCGAGCTGCGCGTCACCGGCTGCGAGCTCATCCAGGCGGCCGGGATYCTGCTGCGACTGCCGCAGGTGGGGCTGGGCGCGGGCGGGGAGGGGGTCGGGACTGAGAGGGGCCTTTCTTTGTGCGGGCCTGGATCTCTCGGTTACCGGCCGGGCAGGCCGCGGGGCTGTCCCGCAGTTACCGGCCGGGGAGACCGCGGGGCCGGCCCGCAGTTACCGGCCGAGGAGACCGCGGGGCCGCCCGCAGTTACCGGCTGGGACGGCCGCTGGGCCATCCGGTGTTCGGGGGTCGTTCCGGGCCTTTGCGGCCTTCCCCGGCCGCTGGCTGCAGGAAGCGGGTGATGTCAGCGCCTTTCCTGCGCCGCCCCCGCCGCCTCCGGGTGACGATCGGGGATTGTGYAAAGAAGGATTTCTTAAGACTCCTTTGGAGCCTTGGTGACCCCGGGAAGGTTTTATTTCCCGGAGGACTTAAGTCCAAACAGCCTCGTTGTTCTCGGAGTGTAAAACTTTCCAGGCACCTTTCAGCTTCCGAGTCTTAGCATATTCAAACATATGCAAATCACGACGTTATTAGATTTCTCCTTTTTTCCACGCCCCAAAAGCTAATTTGTTTTCTTGTGTACTTTCATAACTTTCAATTTTAGTGGGTTTTAGTGGTTTTTTTTCCCTTTTGTTTATAGTTAATCAATTTGGAATATATTTCCACATTTTTTATAAAAAGAATTTGGGATTTAATGTATGTATTTGACTTGTAGACACTATTTACAGCATTGTTAACGTTTTGGGCAACTTACTTAAGTAATAGTTCTAGGATTTTTTTAGATTGAAAAATTTCAGTGTTTTTTTAGACTGCTGAACTTCCTCCCATGCTTAATTACTGTTCTGGGTTTTAAATCTGTTGAAATTTCTTTTTGGGACTGGTAGCTTTGTTCATACCTGTTGTTATCTCTTTTTTTAGGTGGCTATGGCTACAGGACAGGTGCTATTCCAGCGTTTTTTTTATACCAAGTCTTTTGTGAAGCATTCCATGGAGGTAAGAAAGCATTAAATKACATTTGTAGCCGTATTTATCTTCTGATCTCTTTTGCCAAGTTGTCATCTGAGATGGGATCAGTTTTAGGAACTAACTTGGAGGTTATAGTTATAGATCAACGTGATTTTATAAGGCTCTGTAATAGTGATTTTTGTTAAATATTTCGCGTTTCCTTGTTTTACTACTTTTTTTTTTTTTTCTTTTATCCTTTCTTAAGCTAAGGGCAGAGCTGAGTTCCTGAGCTGGAATTGATTTATTATATAAAATACTCTATTTTATCCTTATTTTTCAGCATGTGTCCATGGCCTGTGTCCATCTGGCATCCAAAATTGAGGAAGCCCCCAGACGCATTCGGGATGTGATCAATGTGTTCCATCGCCTCAGACACCTGAGGGAGAAAAAGTAAGCTGAGAACTCAGAATAATCTGAAGTACTTGTGTTTTAATTATTTAATTATTAATTTTTATGGTGGCATCATTCCCTGCTTCCTAAATCAGGGAGTAACTTGAAGGGATCTCATGAAGCGAGCTGGCCTGTTTTATTAAACAAATAAAATGTTATTTATTATAAAATAAGTGTTATTTGTTAAATAAATAAAATAGGAAATAAAAAAAATAATTTTGATGGTAAATAAATAATGGTATATTTTGTTTTAACACAACCCAGCCTGCAAATGAGACCCCTTTGAGGTTAAGAGGATCATCTTCTTGTCTTGCAGAAAACCTGTGCCTCTAATATTGGATCAAGAATATGTGAACTTGAAGAATCAAATAATTAAGGCAGAAAGAAGAGTGTTGAAGGAGTTGGGATTTTGTGTCCATGTGAAGCACCCTCACAAGGTTTGTACTGTATAAATTCACTCATGAACAATGTTTTCATGTTCTGTAATTCTTCGAGGAGGCTGCATGGAAGCTCTGTGTACATGATAATTAGTGAATTCAGTGAGATTTAGTTTCTTACCATCCTGATGTTTTCTTTCTCATTTAAGAGACTCTTACTAATTGGTCTCGTATCACTGCTGAGTGACGGCGAGGTGGATGCAGGTGCTCAGTATTCCTCGAAGTCAAATTGGAGCAGTAGGTAGCTTTGGTGGTAGAAAACATCCCCTTGACATAGAGCCCTGAGCAGGAAGGAATTTGGAGATCTGGGGTTGTCATGGTCACTCCTTGTGGAAACGTGCTGAGGTATCAAACCCATGTGAGCCAGTTTAGTGGCTGTGTGTGATCAAACCACACTAAGGTGGCTAGAAATGAGACCAGGCTGGATATAAAATACAATTTTCTTTCTTTGCGATGTTTAAATTGTGTCTTAACTGGTCAGAGAACTTCCTGCTCCTGTGCCAGCACAGTTTTGGATCTTGCTCTTTTCTCCTCTAAAAACTCGTGTTCAGAGCCTTCTTTTTGATCCTGTTTGACCTTCAGAAATTTCTCTCATCCTCCACCCCAGAGGGCAGCTGTCCTTCTGYTAATTGGTGTGAATTTTGCCTTTAGTCTTTTTTCTTGCAGCCTTGTTTTCCTTCCAAACYGAAGGAAAATCCCTTAGAACTGAACAAACCATGGCACATTGTTAGGTCTGTTCTCTCCAAACACTGCCACATTCCCTCAGTGCTGATTTTAGCAAGCAGCTTTTCCTCCCAGAGTGCAGCTAAAAACATTAGTGTGGTGTGTAGGAGAACAAAACACCCAAGAGAAAGCAGAACACTTGGCTGAGTAAGGATGGAAGGGTTTGGAAGATGGAGAGCTGGGAATGTCAGAAGCTGTGTGGATAAACACTGGGGATAGTGCAAACACTTCATATGCAGTGATTTAGGCCTTGAAAGAGGATAACAGATGCCTCATGGATGTCCCTCTGAAATAAGGAGGTGGCTCTCCAGATGCTGGTTAATAACTCAATAACCCATATCTTCCAGATAATCGTTATGTACCTTCAGGTATTAGAATGTGAACGTAACCAACACCTGGTCCAGACCTCATGGTAAGTTGATTTTCTTTGTTCTAAGAGACCAGAAGGGGCAGTAGCAGAAATATGTCACTTGAGGCACTGGGGCAGCATTGCTCAGCAGTGCTTGGGGCCACACCAGACAGCTCCACTGTCCTTGGTGTGCCCCAAACTACTTCCCAAATGTTGATCGGCCTCTTAAGTTAGAGGCGCTGTTTTTATGGTAAGGTAGCTTTCCACCCTGACTTCTCACTTCCCTCCTGTCTGCTCTCACTTTCCAGCTCAAGGGGAAAGGTTGGGTGGGTTAGAGTTGTTCCCTTGGGTTCTTGTTCTTCAGAGCAATCTAGGTGTAGTTCAAGTCTGTTCCCAGTGCTGGGGAATGGCTTTTCTCAGGGTTTGAGCTCGATTACAGGTGTATCAAAAAGAAATTTCTTTTATCTGTGTGCATAATGAGAGATGTCACCTTTTAAGACTGGATAAATGGATAGCCTGGATTCATATTTGCCAAGAAATGTTCTSTGCCTTATTGCTCTCATTTAATAAATATTTGCTCGGGGGTGGGAAGCTTCTGTAAAATTCCACGTCTTAAACTTTTTAACAATTAAGTAACGCTCATTAAACCATAATGCTTTTTAACAATACCAATGGTCTTAAAAAAAAAATCAAACAACCTTTAGTGAATCCAAAGACCATATTTCTGCTGACTGAACTGTCTGGTACTGTGACCTGTGTGTAGAGAACCAGTTTTGACTTTTCTTTTCTGTACTCTTTTGATCAAAGGGTAGCCTCTGAGGGTAAGTGACTAAGACTTCTCCTCTGCTGCCCATGGTGCAGGGATAGCTGCCGTCTTCAGTCAACCCAAAGCTCTCCAAAGAGAAGGCTGGCTCTAGACAGGTGGTATAATACATGATAGTAGAGTAACTGGCCAACTGCTTCTTGTGCTTCTATTTTTATTTTTTTTTTTACTGTGCATTTTTTGACTGTTTGTAATATTTGATATAACCTGACCGTTGAAGTTCTGAAAGATTTTCTTTTTTTATTTTTTTTAAAAGTTCTAATTCTCTTAACTGTTAAATGTGATGTGTTTTTATACGATAAAGCAAATTAAGGTGGGGTTTAAGTTTTAAAAAGGGATGAATTAACAACAAAAAAAAAAAATGAATAGTTTCCATTTGTAAACTAGTATATGTGTGAAACTTGGAGAGAAAATGTGATATTTAGTGACAGCTCCCAGCAGCATTGCATGGAGCAGTGGATGGGAGCTGTGGAGTGCTCACTGCCAGGAATCTGCTTGTTATGGAAAGAGGGAGAGGGAGGGAGGGAGAGAAGGAATTACTCCAGTTGAAAAAGGGGTCAGATGTTACAGTACCACATCTGTGTGCTCACAGTGGGTATCCAGTATAACTGGGTTTTGAAATGTGCATTTTTACAACATTGCCTTTTTCTTAAGATATTGTGACAAGGATTCATTTCCTCCTGGGTCTGACTGAGCCCACAGGGAACATGTGCAGAGGCCAAACTCAGAAGCTGGCATATTTTACAATTTGTCAAATCAGAAAAAAGCTTTGTAGCTTCCAGTTTGAAATTTCCCTTTCTTTTTATCACTTCTTTGGCCAAAAGCTTTGTGCTCTCTTTGTAGTGGGATGTGAACAGGTTTAGAAGTTCCTTTCTCCCAGAAAGATGAGCTGATGGTTAATGTTGCTCCTTTGAATAAACAAAAGCAGAGGACAGGTGGGAGTTGGATATTTCTGGGATTCAAATTCCTTCTGCCTGGCCTGTGGTCTTTGCTTTGGATATCTTGGGGGTCAGTGAATCCTTGTATACTGGGTACCCACATTGGTTAATTGGTTAATTACTACTTTCAAATACTATTATAAGGATTTTTATTGTGTCTGGTTTTAGTTTTTCTCCACCTGATATTTTATTGATGTATGTGCTCCCAAGTCTAGATCTTCTAAAGCACATCAGCTGACACATTCACAGGAATTTACTTTGTGTATTTAAGATTTAACAGCAATAATGCTTAAGTGTACTGACTGGAATATGTGCAATATTTTACAGTTTTCTCATTCTGTGAATATTCATTTTAAGCAACCCTTACTGAAATGGGACAATTTGGAAACCTTATTTCATGTGCCAAAGAGGAGATCTGCCTGAATACGGACTGTTCTCCTGAACTGACGTTCCCAAACACCCCRATTCCTCCTATGGCTGACTTTTTGCATCAAAAAGAATTCTGTTCTGGATGGAAACAGAGGACACCTTAAAGCCCAGTGGAARTTGAGCTGTGCTGAAGAGAACTGCATTTCATGGGAGAACTGCTCCAGGAGCTGCAGCTTTTGCCAAACATCTGGTTCTGCCCTATTGCAGGGGAACATGTGAAACCTAAAATTCTCTGAGTATTTCTGACCACACTGTATGTTGTCTGATGAAAAGAACTTGTTTTATTGCATGAGAGCAGGCCAGTAGAGATCCAGCAGGAAAAGTGAAGTTAAAATTGGTTCTCTTCTCACCACTGAATTTTCAGCAGTCAGACTTTGTTTCTGTCACACATCCCTCCCCTTGAGGGATTTACCTTAGTTATTTTTTTATTTTTATTAAGTAAAATCATTCAGCTTCTCTTGAAATTTACAGGAGTATAATGTTGAATTCTAGAATGCAGAAAGAAATAGCCTTTATAGAAATAAAACCAAGTCCAAAAACAAAAAAAAAAAAAAAAGAATCCCAGAGAGCTTTGCAGTGCCTTTCAACCTTCTGTTGTCTCTGTCTTTCAGGAATTACATGAACGACAGCCTGAGAACAGATGTTTTTGTGAGGTTCCAGCCAGAAAGCATTGCCTGTGCCTGCATTTACCTGGCAGCCAGGACACTGGAGGTGAGCCATGCTTCCATGGATTTGGAGTTTTTTTTTTTAAACCTCTCTGAGGGGAGCAGAAATCTGAGCTCTGTCCTTTTCTCCTTTTCAGATCCCACTTCCAAATCGCCCACATTGGTTTTTACTGTTCGGAGCAACGGAGGAAGAAATTCAAGAAATCTGCTTAAAAATCTTGCAGCTCTACACGAGGAAAAAGGTTTGGTTCTTTTTCATGTTGGGAACCTTCAGAAAAGGCTGCAGCTCAGAACAGGAGTTAAAAATTTTAATTTTGTTTGAAACCAGCTCCAAGTGAACAAAGAGCAGTCTCTGTCTGGGACTCCTTGGGTTTTTATTCCCCTCCCTGGGAGTGAGTAACCAGGAAATTCAGTTCCCTGAGTGTTCTCACAAGCAGTGCTCCTGTGTTCACAGGTGGATTTATCTGATCTGGAAAGTAAAATAGAGAAGAAGAAATTGGCTATTGAAGAAGCAAAAGCACAAGCTAAAGGTCTGGTACCTGAGGGAGTCCCGAGCTTGGATAACACATCGGGATTTTCCCCTATYCCAAAAAATGGTAAATAGTGGATAACTCATTTTTAATAACTCTTTCACATCTTTCATGTATATTTACCCTTTTGGGATGCATTTACAAGTGTGGTTTGGGKTTTGTTGGGGKTTTTTTTTAGGCTGGCTTCTGGCACTGCTCAACTGGCAGAGTTTGAATAGCATTGTAGCTTTGTGATTTCTTGAATCAGATAAAAGCCAAAATCAAATTAGTCTGAAATTAAGACTAGTTTAAACTCATATAGGCCAGGGGCTTGCTTTTATGTGGATTTGGCARTTAACTCAAATACTTGCCACTGGCATGTTGTGCTACAGCAATATTGAAGCAGAGGTGCTCTGGCAAGGGGAACATTTTGGGATTTTGGGTGGGGGGAATTCGTTGGTTGAAAGTTCCCAGTCTGGTGCCTGTCTCACCTAGAAGACAACATTTACCATCTCTCCCACTTTACCTTTAAACCATACTGAATAACTGGCAAGAGAAGGAAGGTGATTTTCTGCCTTCTCTCACAGTTCACTCCCTGGGGTGACTCCAATACTTGAGCAGAAACGTTTCAGATGAATTTCTGCCTTCCGTGGAACTTGTTCAGATCTGTTTGTGGGTGGCTGTGTGTGCACACGTGGGCAAAGTGCAGCTGTGCTGTTCTGGTTATCCCAGACAGGAGCTGAGGGGASCCTTCAGTCCTTTCAGGTACTTTCCAGACAGGTAACAAAGGCTTCTTTCTGCAGAGTCTCCAAAAGAGGTTAAAGGAAATAAACCTTCACCGCTACCTGTGCAGGCAATGAAGAATGCTAAAAGGAAAACAGAGGGAGCCAAAAGAACCAGCTCCAACAGCCCGGTGAACGGGTAAGGTTTCAGAGGGAGGCAGCTGATTTTTCTCCTGTGATTATTTGGAACAAAAGAACTGAGTGTTCATTGTCTGTTGCAGTGTCCAGAAAGGAAGGGAGAGCAGAAGTCGAAGCGGAAGCCGAGATCAGAGTTACTCGAGATCACCGTCRAGGTCTGCATCCCCAAAGCACAGGTAGGGCGTGCTCCCAGAGCCACCCAGGCTCCCATTTCCTTTGATAATTCATCACCACGAGGCTGGGAGGTGAGGTTAAACTCGTTCAACTCCACAATAACTCCAAATGTGGGGGTTTACAGTGTTACTGTAACTGAAGCTGGGTAAAGGGATGAGAGTTCCTCAAAATCAGTGTTTTTACAGCAGCCAGATGTAAGTTTAGGACACAAGATGAATTTTYGTGGGGTACTGAACAGCAAAATGCAAGATGAAGTTTTTATAACTGAAGAAAATCTCGTTTTTTTTCTAGGAAAAGTGAGAGTTACTCCACATCCAGCGGCTCCAAATCTCACAGCCGCTCACGGAGCCGCAGCGATTCCCCTCCGAGGCAATTCAACCACAGCTCCGGCTACAAAGGCTCCAAAGTCCGCAGCTACAAGAAATCCAAAGACTACAAATACTCCGCTCACAAAGCGCGCAAATCGCGCAGCCGGAGCTCGTCCCGCTCGCGCAGCCGCTCCCGCGAGCGCTCCGACCACTCGGGCAAGTACAAGAAGAAGAGTCACTACTACCGCAACCACCGGCACGAGCGCTCCCGCTCCTACGAGCGCGCCGGGCACCGCTACGAGCGCGAGCACCCGGGCCACAGCCGGCACCGCCGGTGAGC